GTTATCAGGATTATTTTATCGATCATGGGATTTAGTTCTTTTTGTACAAAACGTTGTGTTTCAATAACATAGCTAGGTTAGTATTAATATAATAGGTATTATGAATCGGCCCAATGAAATTCTAGTGAACTTACTTAAATAACGTCAAATATGTAATCTCTATGAATTATTTTAATTTATTAATTTTGTTTAAAAGAAAAATGAAACTTTTACACACCAATCCAATCCAATTAAAAGGCCTATTTATTTATTATTGCTATATAAAAAAAATATTCTTAAAATTAATCAAACGTTACGGAACACATAGCTCGCTCTGTTTTTCGATTTTTTTTTTGTAAATTACTTTCATACGCAATAAAACAATAAAATGGAATTTTTGTTTGTAAAGTGCTGTTAAAATTATTGAAATGAAATAAAGCAACAGGTCTTTTAGCATGAATCATAAGTATTAGTGATTCACTTCAAAATATCGTGCAAAGTACTTAATAAAATGTTGTTATAAGTCATAGATTACTAATAAAAAAATTAGTGATCGATGTTATAAGTACATATAATCGGCAAAGGGTAAAATATATTTTTACAGTTCACTTACTTTTAATTTTTATTTATTTTTTCTTTTGTATTAAATTTCGTCATCGTCGTTGCGTTGTTGCAATAAGTACAATCATTTTATTTTTGACAATTTTCTTTTGTCTTGATTGGGTATCAATGTGACCCTAATAATATTTAATAACCATTCAAGACAAAAGAAAATTCTATCATTAAGCATCTAACTTTGATAATACGAGTACATAATCAAAGGCATCTATAAATACCTTGTCTAGGAAATAATAATAAAGATTATTAGAGAAGCACAGACTTATTTAAGTAGGTACTTATTTATTTATTATCTAGTGATGGGTGTAAAATATTATTAAATAAAAAAAAACAAAATGTTGTATCAACTGTATTAAATCAGATCATTTATAATCGAAGTTGTTTTAAATAACAAATAACAATAAATTGTTAAACATAAAAAAGTTTTAAAAACTTTTCTATTAAAATTATTGCAATTACTTGAATTATGTAAGTATGTAAAGTAAAACAAAAAAATACAGGCAACATACAAGTGCACGGTCAAGGTGACTGACCCAATATGTAAGAGTGTTGAAAAAGGTATAAAAGATGCTAACACCAAGACGGGATTCTGACTAGTTGACTCAGTAACGATTATGCATTATATTATACGACTAACCACAACTGGGTAGATACGCAGAAATATTAGTTTAAATGTTGATGCGTTCTATAAATCTTCCACTTTTTAAAGATTGAAAAGCTTTATTTATAAAAAAAAAAGAAACATTACCACACAATTTTGTTAAAATGTTATGAGCAAAGTCTATATCTGAGATATTTTACTCATAGATATAGGTAGGCTTCGCTATAATAGTTATAGCTTATATACTTCACAGACCTCTCATTTCCGAGAGATTTTTCTTGTTATGGAGCAGTGTCACTGTGTCTTCGTCTAGGATAAGGATACTAAATAAATATCTGTACTACGTAGATAGATTATTGTGCTTTGTGAAGATGTTCAGTAAATGTCCACGTATGATACTGTCTGGCTCATTTGATTGCATGAACTTGTTTGATAACCGACACTGACTTGAGATACGAGTTTTTGCAATTTTTAACTGAATCGTTTTATTGAATAATATTTTTCGCTTAAATAATATTGAACGATAATTGAAAAGCTTTCAACTTTTTTTTTACGGCAGTAAAGTCAAAAAATCAATGTAATCTATTTAATATAAAAATCATAGCATAGCAAAGGACAAAAATTATACCATGTGTAAGAAAATGGTCAACGACCATGTGATTTAGTGGTAACTTGTCTGCTTAGTCATTTTTTTAAATCATACTTAAAAGAGACACTGGTACCAACACACGCATACCACATAATAGATTTCTGATCTTGCCACAGAATAAATAATAGTTAAAAGATCTTCCTTATAAGGAATTAACATTTTTGCCAACATAAGACAGCATGAAGCTTACTTCGAGCAATCAATGTCGGTTAGGTCCCTTTAAGAATTTAATTATTAAAATCTTTGTTTTCCAATACCTTAGTGAATATTATAATATTTTTAATACTCCACATTATTCGACGTTACCTTCATTCGAGGCATTTTGCAGTACCTACCCTACTCAAGTTTTCCTTCGCCGTCGCAAAAATTAATAGCAGTAGCAAAACCCGCTTAACATTTTTCGTGTTTTTTTTTGACTCTGAAAATATTAAATTTATAGATACATAAAACTTTATTGTACGCCAAAAATAGAAATATGTACAAAAAGGCGCAAAAAGAGATGCGGTACAATGGGCATACTTTTCGCTAGAAGCATAACAATTAACAATAATAAATCACAATAGATATTTTAGGTAGCAGTGATACTGGTCTATCCCTCTAGATCTGCATAGCTTCTCGCAAATAATAACAAAAAAAAAACAATAGCGGTTTGTTATTAAAAGACGCTGCCCATCCTGGTTTTGTTTCCCTCTGTCGGCTCTTACGAAAGTCACGGGACGAGGGCGAGGGGCGGATATTCCTACTTCGTCAGTACACAATAATCGTCAATCCATACGCATTTGTTATTTTCATCACGTATCACAATTAAATTGTACTGGCTTATTTGTACAATGCATTGTAGCATGATTGTCGCCTTTAATATTTCATTGCGACTTGTAATAGGTAGGTACATAAATGTTTCAACCAGGGTCTTAGCCAACGCGACCATTTGCAGCGGTGCTGCATAATTATTTATTAAACAGAAAGAAATACTATTTGATTCAGGGGCGCAGCTACCGCCCTACCGCCATATCAGCCGTATCAAAATACGGGGCCCCCGGACTACAGGGGCCCGAACGTGTGTAAGCAAAATTCTAAGGTCTTTTATGGGACAGGAAAGGCTATCACTATTGTCTATAGAAGCTAAAAATTAAGAAATACTGAAATCGTCTTCAACTTTACGTGGTAGAGCCACGGTGCAGCTATATTAATGATATAGTTGTAGCACAAATGGGTCGGCTCGACCGGGGAGGTACCTACAGGAGGTACTCACAGAATACCAGCGTAAAATAGCAGCTTAACACTGCTGTGTTTCGTATGGTGAGTGTAGAGAACCGCAGACCCTTTTTACTGGAAAAGAGGCATTCAATCTTAGTCCTCACGGGTGACAATGCATCTGCATTTTGATTCGCAAACGAGGATAGATGTAGATGTCTATGGGCCACAGCAACCACTTACCATCAGGTGGACTGTGTGCTCGTCTTTCTTGTCAATGATGATAGCCTCTTGGAAATCACTAATATCATGTTTAATTATCTAATTAATTTGACAATTGAAATTGTATAGGTACCTATCCATTAATTTAATTATTTTATAATTACACGCCTACTCTGATGATGGTGTCCTCCCGCTCGACTTGCGTTGACATGACTGTCTCGTTGGTCTAGAGGTCGTAAGCCCAACTGCTGATCAGGAGGTCCCGGGTTCACAATCTGGGTCTAGCTTAAAATCACTTATTGGGGTTATCTGTCAAAAAATTCTCAGGAGCAACCCGGAGTTAGAAAGTTAGCGGTGTTTCTCATCGTGCCTCGGAAAGCACATAAAACCGTTGGTCCTGCGCCTGATCTCTCTCTAGCCGTGTCGGATTACCGTCCCATCAAACTATGAGAGAGAAGGAATAGAGTTCACCTATGCGTGCTTACACATTCGTGCACTGTAATCTTGTCATGCGTAGATGGATAGCCTCCGTAGCCTCTGGTTACTGCTGGCTTCTTTGGCTACTGGCCGTCGTGACATTTATATTCTTCATTAGATTAATATTATTCGAATAATCTGAAGTTATCGCCTGTGCAAGAGATATTGTCACTAATAGACGCGCAACCGCAAAGGTACGCTTCTTGCTTCTTGAACTACCGTGCTCGCTACAATCATTACGAAATAATATGAAATCAGAAAACTTAATTTGGTTGTAATGTCAGACATATTATTAGTGTTCCTAACACTACAATTACAGCTATGTTAAAAAACAAACAATTAGGTACTTACCCTTTTTGCACAATTTCTGGCTTCTGCTCACTGGTGTAGCACGAGCTGCTGCCGCCCGCAGCCGCTGGAGGTATGTAGCTATGATAAATCAGTATAATTTATTTTTCTCCCTTGACATGTGTGTGTGTTCTAACTCAGGGCCTACGTGTCTACGGGGTCGTTATACTTACAACTAGCTGTTCCCCGCGACTTCCCCCGCGTGTTAAACTAATGCGTGGATTTAATTTATTTTGCGCGGAACCCTAAATATTTTTCTAAAATAAAAGTAGCCTAAGTAACCCCTGGACAGATAGCTAACATCATCTATCTGTCCTGTCCCGTCAAAATCGGTCCAGCCATTTCGGATATTAGCCGAAACAAACATACAGATAGATAAAATGTTTAAAAATTGTTTTTGTTATAAGTAACGTGTATACTTCAATGACGTATTATACATCATTCGTATACTGCCATATGCATTTAGTAAAAAGCTGTTATTTTGAAATTACAAACAGACTTCTATTTTTTTTTATAGGATAGGTTGACAAACGAGCGCATAGTCTACCTGATGGTAAGTGGTAGCTGTGGCCCAAAGACATCTACATCTATCCTCGTTTGCGAATCAAAATGCAGATGCGTTGTCACTTGTCACCCGTGAGGACTAAGGTGGAATGCCTCTTTTCCCGTAAAAAGGGCCTCCGGCCACCTGCACTCACCGAGCAAAACGCAGAGGTAAACCTCTACTTCACGTTGGTATTCTGTGAGGTCGTGGTACCACCCCGGTTTGAGTCGGCCGTGCGACAGCAAAAGCTGTCGCGTGGCTCTACTACTGTCAAATATTTGTATAGATATGCAGTTTATGAAACAAAAACTGCAGTCTAATATAATTTTTTTTTACTTATACAACAGAAAAAAAAAACAACGGACACTATGCCGCGCTTCAAGACTATCTTAGTAACGGGCGGTGCCGGATATATTGGCAGTCACTGTGTCGTGGACCTCCTAGAGGCAGGATACGAAGTGGTGGCGATAGATAACTTCGCTAACGCTGTTGGCGGCGATGAAGGATCACCAGCATTGCAGAGGGCGGAACAGATCACTGGCAAGACTGTTACTTTCTACAAAGCAGATTTACTGGACAAACCACAGATAAACGACATTTTCGACAAGGTAAGTTAAAAAGAGGTTCTTAATTAGACATTTTTGGATGATGTTAGGCGATATCTTCGTGAATTTTTAAACCAAAATTGATGATTTTTTTTATTTAACAGGCTATATAACTCAAGGGTGGTCCCACTAAAATTTAAAGAAAAAAATTCCACGCCTAAGGGAACAATAGGGAATAAAATGTTTAATTTAACTATTTATATGACATCTTATTTGTCACCTTGAGATTGTATGTATTAAATAAAAAATAGGTACTATAAAATTCTGAAGTCGAGGTTTTACGAGTAATTCTTCGATATGCTTCTTAGTATCGCCTTCATTATATTATGTGGAAATTATTAAATTTTTTGTAGTTCTATAAAGTCGGCTTTTTCTTTTTTTTTTTAGCAGACTCGCAGACATAATAATAAAGCTATTTTCTAGGAGATTAAAATATAGGTACAAATCAATATATATTTTTTGAACACAGGACTCGCAAACATTAGCACGGGCAATTATTTACACAACGCTGTCGTCTGTTTGAGCTTTTTAACATCTTTTGTTTATATGTATTTTAATACAAATGGTATTTCTTTTACGCAACTTTTACACCTTAATTTACACATTTTAATGGTAACGAACAGAAGCACACACTGAGGTTAAGGCTGTGGCCTATAAGACACCTACTAGATACATTTATCCTCGATTGGGATTAAAATGCAGATGATTGTCAGCCCTGAGGACAAAGATGGAATACCAATAAAAGGGGTGCTGACAATCCCTCACCATCCGAAACATATCTGCATGGCATGCAAGCATATTATGCTCTTTTGAGTAGGTATTCTGTACTATCGTAATATTGCACCGGTCGAGTCAACCCATTCCTATTGCAACCAGAAAATAGCCGCGTTTCTCTACTACTTTAAATTTGCACGATTACATTTTACTAATTTTACAGCATCAAGTGAACTGCGTTATACATTTCGCTGCTCTGAAAGCCGTCGGCGAATCGATGCAACAACCACTTCTCTACTATCAGAACAACCTATTGGGAATGCTCAATTTATTAGAGGTAAAGTACCTACTAGATTACATCTGATTACTTGATAAAATTCAGATTTTAGTAACAATTACTTGAAAGGCTGTCAGGTGACTGCACTACACTTGTCTTTTTTAATATAATGTGCATGCACGTAGATTGTCTTACGTTTTTCTGGTATAAGTATTTCATTTATAAGTAACCAACACACTCGTATGACGTGGTGTATATACATAAGGTTACAGTTCTTATATTTCTAAAAGAATCATGATGATAAAGTACTTGACATACATATAATTTTTCAAACGGTTTATTGCGTTTACATCGAATCAGCCTTGTTAACAGTTCCGGACTTTAAATCCCAAGGATTTATTATTCCATTGGATAAATATCGTGACTGTGCTCAGATCGAAAATTTAAAGATTTGAGAAAACAAAAACAAAGCAGTAGGCTTAATACTAGTAGTATGAATTCTTCGCCAAAAATCATTTTAAAGAATCTTGTAAAAATTTATTTATCTTACCTGAGTTACATGTTCGACTTCGAAGTCTAAATTTTATGACAACGAAATATTATCTTATATTACCCTATAGCAGGGGTACCTTTTTTGACCAGGGACCACTTTGATTTTTTTGTAGTTAGCAGGGACCACAAGGTAAATAAAAAACTGTACTAATCTAACAATAAATTATAATCACAACTTTATTAACAGTATTATGTGTGTATATATTGTAAAAGCTTGTAGGTACATAGTACATACTCGTACTAATGTGACACGCGGTGTTGCACTGCCTGCGTGACGAGAAAATAATGAAATGTTATATAAAACGATTAGGTAGGTAAAGTATTTAAATGTATCGCGGACCGTATTTAAGCTCTTGCGGACCACTGGTTGGGAATCACTGCTATATAGTAATGAAAATGCAACGAAATCATTTTCAATTTTGTCCTTTTTATCTTTTAAATTCAAAATGCGTGGTAATGCATTATTTTAACAGATTGTATTGCGCACGCACACATTTGTATTGATTGGTAGGCAAAAACGTTGTTTATCATAAATCACATTCAATTTGGGATAATCTATACATATAATAAAAATGTAAATAGCAGATGTCTGTACATTTTATATTTTTGTAATAAAATTGATTGAGAGGTACTAAAAATAAGTAATCAAATACATTTCTACCATTTTTAGATTTTTCTGTCTGTCTGTCTGTCTGTCTGTCTGTCTGTTTGTTTGTTAACGTATCACGTATAAAGTACTAATTTATATCATAAGAATAGTTAAGGAAATTATTAAGTGTATATTCAGGTTACATTTAGTCTTTATTTCATTAAAATTGGTTAATTCCATCAAAAGTTATGACAAATATTCTGAAGTATGGGTACTAAGTATAGGTACGAATTTGTTCAATAGTGGCGTTGGATGAGTCATCAAGTACATTTTAAAATTAATATCATATTATAAATCATAATTAAATGATGTAAAATAATGTTCTATAATGATATAATTATATCTAAAACGCAGTAAACAAAAATATTACATAAAGAACGTAATAAATATATACAAAATATATTAACCTTATTATCTAAACTAAATTAAAGTACAATAGTTAACCAATTTCATCGATAGATGGTGGTGTGGCACAAATGTGATATCAAGTTCATTTAATCTTTGTTTTATTGAAATTGGTTAATTCTATCGAAAGTTATGATTATTATTTTGAAATGTAGGTTCGAATTTGTTTAATGGCGCCACAAAATCTCAGAAATAGTAATAAAAAGATTCGTGTGTAAAAAAAAACGTTCTATTATAATATATTTCATATCGTTCTATTATAGTACTTAAAACACAGTAAATACATGTTTTCCTTAAATGAGGGCATCCACGACTTTTTCTGCCACCAGGGCGGCGCCACTGGAAAGGGAGGTATAACATTTGACAGATTTCATAGCGGTGAAGTTAATTTATTTGGAAAATGTAAGACTTATTGTTTCTTTTTGTACTATTGGATATATTTTATATTAATAACATTCAAAATAAATATACCAAATTACAGATATTCATAAAAGTAGAAAAATTAAAAAAAAGTTAAAAATGTACAAAAATTTTATAAAGGAAACCACTGACGCATTATTTGTGTATTAATATAATAATCTAGAAACTGATAAACATTTATTAAAAAACAACTTCTCAATTAAATTACATTGTGTAACAAAAAACTTTACCTCAGTGTCATCTAGCGACATCTGGTGAGCGGAAAATTATTAGCCCCCATTAAAAAAGGATGTTTTCTCACAAAGAACGTAATAGATGGCGTTGTACAAATTACAACCTTTTCTGAATTGCGGTGTTAAGATTTTTCGCAGGTGAATCGTATTGAGACTCACTGAAATAATTAATGTTCATGAGACGAAGTTTCAAGCCTGTAAGGTATATATATACAGTAATCTATACCTGCCTGTAAGTCGTGTAGACTAACAACTCATAACAAAAACCAACAGTAACAAAAACCAGTAAAAAGAGATATTGAAATTTTCAATTATTCAACAAAATTACAAAACTCTACTAAAAGTAGCAAAATTGCAATAAATGTCGTGATAGTGATATTGTTTTATACCCAGAATCCCTCTAATACCAAATAACTTTCCGTTCAGTTTTAAGTAAAGTAAAGTTGCAGCCTATTTACGGCCCACTGCTGGGCACAGGCCTCCTCTCATTTCTGAGAGGGTTTTAGGGCAAGGAAATGTACACCGCGCTGCCCCAATACGTGTTGGCGAACATGCAGGTTTCCTCACGATGTTTTCCTTCACCGCCGAGCACGTGGTAAATCAGCACTTAAAATTGCAATTAACAATTTCATTGGTGCCGGCGGGGGTCGAACCCGGGTTGCTCGAGTACTGTGAAGCTTACAGCGAGCGCTAACCATCTGAGCTACCACGGCTCAGGCTTCAGTTTTAAGATAGGGATAATAACATCGATGATGACATCGATGTTGGCATCGACAGCTCAACATCGATGTTCGATGTTTAGGCTACTTAAAACATCGATGTTGACCATTATCGATGGTTTTTGTATATGTGTAGATACTTACACATAGTTTCAAAATTATGTGGGTATACACAGCAAGGGAAAAGTAACAATTAACTTGAATATCAATTTACGTAGAATAGTTATTATGCGACAACCGATAACGACACTACAAAATAAAGCGAAAGCAGTGACCATTGTGACATTACAGGAGACACTTGACAATTAAGTTTGACTCACCATACTTACATTATTTTAGGTTAACGATGCGTTCAGAAATTCTGAATTATTCAAAATTTTTATTCTTCAAAGCAGATGCAAGATTTAGTTGATATTGATTTCGCGAGTTCGCATTGTTTGCAAGTTCCCAATTATCGATTATGGGTTCATTGACGTCGATGTTTCGATGTTTGACATATGTCAACATCGATGTTAAAACATCGAAGTTTTAATTTTTAACATCGATGATCATCTAACATCCCTATTTTAAGTGTGTTTCCCACTCAGCGTGTGTTATGCGACGATCGTAAATAAAGCGCAAGGTCAAACTTTACGCGTTGCAGGAGTGGATCTCAGTACTGATTGTTTTGCACATGGCCAACTCTATGTTGCTTTTTCCCGCGTTAGTAGTCCCCGTAACCTTTTTCTGTACGCCCCGGCTAAGTCTACTTCTATCGTCGTTTACACAGAAGCTCTATCATAAGCGACTTAGAACTTTGAGCATATCCATTTATTTTGTTACCACTTATTCATACAGTAATGATATAAATCGTTTAATATTCTCTTACCCTAAACGTCAAATTCTTTAAGTAAAATCTATATTCGCGAGCTACGCCGCGGGCACAGCTAGTCTATACATATAATAAAACTGTAAATAGCAGATGTCTGTACATTTTTTATTTTTGTAATAAAAGTGATTGAGGGGTACTAAAAATAAGTAATTAAATACATTTCCACCATTTTTAGAATTTTCTGTCTGTCTGTCTGTCTGTCTGTCTGTCTGTTTGTTTGTTAACGTATCACGTATAAAGTACTAATTTATATCATAAGAATTGTTAAGGAAATTATAAAGTGTATCTTCGGGTTACATTTAGTCTTTATTTCATTAAAATCAGTTCATTCCATCAAAAGTTATGATAAATATTCTGAAGTATGGGTAGAGAAGTATAGGTACGAATTTGCTCAACGGTGGCTTTGTTTGAGTCATCAAGTGCATTTTAAACTAATATCATATCATAAATCATAGTTAAATTATGTAAAATAATGATATAATTATGTATATCTAAAACGCAGTAAACAAAAGTAATAAAGAACGTATTAAATATATTATACAAAAATATATTAACCTTATTAAATAAATCTGAAGCACAATAGTTAACCCATTTCTTCGATAGATGGTGGTGTTGTGAAAATGTATTTTTTATTTAATCTTTGTTTTATTAAAATTGGTTCATTTTATCGAAAGTAATGATTATTATTTTGAAATGTAGGTTCGAATTTGTTTAATGGCGCCATAAAATCTCAGAAATAGTAATAAAAAGATTTCTGTGTAAAAAAAAACGTTCCATAATAATTAATATATTTATACTTAAAACACAAAAAGAGATAGGATGTTTTCTCACACAAAGGACGTAATAGATGGAGTTGTAGAAATTACAAACTTTTCTGAATTGCTGTGTTGAGATTTTTCGCCGATGAATCGTATTAGACTTACTGAAGAAATTTGTATCCATCGAAGCCATACAACGGAACCCGACCAAAAATAAAAAATTTGCAACGAAATGTCGTGATATTGTATTAATAATATACGCAAAATCAGAACTGCCATTTTAGCGCTTTGGGAACTAGATTTAGCACTCTTTTGGAATGTATAGCGCGCATTTCGAAATTTTAGCACCTAGCGCTTAATCCAGCGCTTTTTGGTGAATTTAGCACACATTTCAATATTTTAGCGACTAGCGGGTTATTAACTCTTTTATAGCAGCACTGTTAGTCCACATTACCGATTATAATAATAATGACCTTTATTATTTTTTCCCACAAATAGTACCTACATTGCAGTTTATCTTTTTCAAACATATTTTTTCCACAAAACAAAGAGCATGGGAGACGAGTCCAAACTAGGATACCCTGTGCTATGGATTTCCTGGCTTCCCCTTTAGGATGATCAACTTGATTTTTTTACCTATAAGCGGGGAAATCCCCTTTATTAAAGTTTTCGTTCATGGTTTTGGCAACGCATTTATTTTGCTTTATTCAGTTTTAGTCAGTTGCTTAGAGCACAGCTAAGTTAAAAGTTACTTAGAAGTTATAACACAAAGAAACTGTGTAGCAACCGCAATCAGATGCTGACATCTGAAACTAAGTTGCGAAATACATTGCACTTTAAAACAATTAATGACATTTTTATTGTTCGTACAGTACTAACTACTGTTGACAGCAATCGCTATAATTATAAGTCGATGTCCTGCGAAGTATTGATACATCAAAAAAATATTGCCAGAAAAAAAACTTAATGTTGTTTTCATTATTATGATTATATAAACACAAACTTTGTTTGTAGTTAATTTAGCGCGATATCTAGGGCTTTTTTAAAGCGCTGTTTTCATGAAATCTAGCGCTTTTTGTGTTGTCCTAGATCTGAATGAGTTTTTTTTTATCTGGCAGCACTGCCCAAAAACCCTCTATTAAGAAGTAACTTTCCTTTCAGTTTTAAGCGCGTTCAGTTCCCAGTTACAGTGAGTGTGTGTTATGCGATGACCGTAAATAAAGCGCAAGGTCAAACTTTACGCGTTGTAGGAGTGTACCTCAGTACTGACTGTTTTGCACATGGCCAACTCTATGTTGCTTTTTCCCGCGTTAGTAGCCCCCGTAACCTTTTTGTGTATTCCCCGGCTAAGCCTACTTCTAACGTCTTTTACACAGAAGCTCTATCATAAACGACTTAGAACTTTGATGATAATGATTTATTTTGTTACCACTTATTGATGAGTAATGAAATAAATCGTTTAATATTCTCTTACCTAAACGACAAATTCTTTATGTAAAACCTGTATACGCGAGCTACGCCGCGGGCACAGCTAGTTTGAAATAAAAGTAGAAGAATTATTTATTCGTATTTTTCATATTTAAAATTAAGTTTATAATTTGGCTACTCTGAAAAATAACTCTGTATATTCAAATATTGTCCAAGATTTACCATGGAACAGGACTCTAATAAAAATCTCATGTTATATTACGTAGGTGATGAGGTCGCACAATTGCTATCAAATGGTGTTCTCGTCGTCGTGTACCGTGTACGGCGAACCAGAGAACCTTCCCATCACTGAAACTCACCCTACCGGCAAAATCACCAATGTCTACGGAAGAACAAAATACTTCATAGAAGAGATGCTCAAGGATCTCAGTGCTGCAGAAAAGGTATTTAACTAAAGTGTAAAGATTGTGTAAAGATGCGGGTGGAGCACTATGTTTAGCAGTGAACTTTAAACTGTAATGAATGAAAGTTATGTAAGGAGAAATAAGTACTTTATTGCCAGATCCAACCTCACCTACATCCTGCTAATTATTGATAACTAGCAGCATTACATGCAAGGGTATCGACTCTGCGTTTACCAATCCAGTTCGATTGTTCCCATTGTGATAAGTATGATCAAATCTACTAAAAAAAGGCAATCCTGCAGTGGAATCAAAAACGCTATTGATAATAATGATGAAATAAAATAACGCCTACCGTAATTGAGCACAGGCTTTCTTAGATTTTTTTTGATAGGATAAGTGTAACAAACGAGCAAACAGTCCACCTGATAGTAAGTGGTTGCTGTGGCCCATAGACATATACATCTATTTTCGATGACGAATCAAAATGCAGATGCGTTATAACCAGGGCCGGATTAACCATGTCGGGGCCCTTAGGCAATGGAATTCTCGGGGCCCCACAGAGGAGAATAAAACTTTTTAAATTAAATTTATTCACGTTCACAAAACTCACAAAACGCAATTACAGATCAAGCATTTGAAAACTTTTGTATATCATACAATACGCTACGTAACATACCCATATTATTAGTTCTACTACTCGATATTAGATGGTTCTGTTCTGTAAGTATAAAGTATTTCATCAACTGACAGTATGCGTCGCTAAAACGTAATAATACTTAGTGTCACTGAGGTTACAAATTTTCTAATAAAATTTTCTCTGTATGAAGCATTTTCCATTATATCTGGGCGCGCACAGGGCCCCTACCCGATGCGGGGCCCCTAGGCAGTTGCCTACTCTGCCTAAAGGTTAATCCGACCGTGGTTATAACCCGTGAGGACTAAGATGGAATGCCTCGTAAAACGCCCAGTAAAACGGGTCTCCGGTTCTCTACACTCACCATGCGAAACACAGCAGCGTCAAGCTGTTATTTCACGCTGTTATTCTGTGAGAGCGTGGTCCTTCCCCGGTCGAGCCGACCCATTCGTGCTAAAACTATACCAGTAATATAGCTGCAGCATGGCTCTACCACGTAAACAAACAGATATCGGAAGGATTTTGAAGTAGGGAAGGTCATTCTGCTTCAGATTGTGTCAGCGACCTCACACGTCCGCTGACACAATCTGAAGTGTAATATTTGAATTCCTGACATACGGGGTTCTTTACAAACCATAGACCGTGTAGTGGCGGTGTAAGAATATCCACTACCCCATACCGTCCCGTGGGTGTCGTAAGAGGCGACAGAGGCAAACAAACTAGGAGATGGGCAGCAGCGTCTTCCTAATGTTATTAGAAAGACGCTGCTACCTTAAACAATAAAATACTGAGGTTGCCAACCCGCTTGCCAACCGTGACAACTAGTTATGAAGCACTCTATGGGGTGGCGTATGTTTAGCAGAGGACTTTGATAGGCTGTGATGATGATGAGACTTCTTCATGATGTTTTCGTCTGCCGCCCAGCACGTTTTAACTGTCAGTTAGCGCGGATCGAACTTAGGTCGCTCACGTACTGTAACAGGGTTTATCATAGGCTTAACAAAATAAAATGGAATTTTGTTATGATTAAAATTTACCCAATATCGACAGGAATAAAAAAATGGTATTGATCTTTGTAAGAAAGCAATAAGCAACTGATTCTATCTTTAGTTACTAAAAGTTTGCATAAGATGTTTTGCCTTGAATGCGTTGTAACACTTTTGTTTCTAACAATAACTTCTAAAACCTTTACTTTGAATATAATATACTATGTTCATCTCACATTTTAATTTTCTTGACTTTATTAGCTATCCCTATTTAGGGTTCCGTTACGTAGTACTATTATTTATTCTGTGGTTCCGTAACCAACGGTGCCCAATTACTATGCCTCCACTGTCCGTCTGTCCATCAGCACAGAATAAATAATAGTGCCATCAGTCCGTCCGTCTGTCAGCGGGCTGTATCTCATAATTCGTAATTGGCAGACAGTTCAAATTTTCACACACAATTTTCACAAATGTTAGTTCTGTATATAACAACAAATAATAAAATAAATTAAAAATTAAAGGGCGATTTTGCGTACATAGTATTAAATCTTGTACGATGGTACGGAACCCTTCATGCGCGAGTCTGACTTGACCGGTTATTGAATTCTTAATACTTTTCTTAGGGTTATATTGTCATACAATAAGCCCCTTGTAATTTTGTTCTGTACCCTGTTTCAATGTGTCCTAGCAATCAATAATTTTTGATCGAATTACATGAAATGTTTGAATTATATTATATTCTTTCCATATTGATTCAATTAGTCAGGTACACTTTAAGCGACATGCAGTTTTCGACATCCAAACTTCAAAGTAGCGATTTTATTAAAATGAAACGAAAATTAAAACATATTCGGTCTTACTTATAAAATAAAAGTTGATTATCATTTACTTATTTTAAATATAAATTATCTCTACATCTATCTCTATCTATTGTCATTTAGTGAAAAGACCGAGCGCAACTTTAAGCTTTTTTGGCACCTATTTTTCAATTGATACAAAAAGAAATCTTTTTCCCAAAATAAATAATGAAAGACCATAAACAAAAATTATTAAATTGTAATTCGAGTAGATACAACATATTTAAACTAGTACTATTATTTATCCTGTGTTTAAACCTACATAAGTTATCCAACAATTTGAAAGTCAATAAATGCTTATGTAATATAAAAGTGCATTATGAGGGCAAAATCACTTTCTGCAATTATTGCTTAAAAGTTGATAAGAAAATATTAATAGCTATTGCGCCTATATCAATCAATATATTATGATTTTATCGATAGATTTTTTCATCAGTATCTATTGATATTGGTGATAAGGATGGATTATAATCAAATATCCGTAAATATGAAATTATGTTTTTATAATCTCGCAAAAGAATCTCAAAATTTGAATTATTTTATATTACGTACAGTACGTATAGTGACAATAACTCTATCAAAATTAACATTTGAACTTTTTCAAGTAAATAAAAATATCCTTCGTCATCAACTCTCAACAGATGCACACTAAACAGATTCATATAATTACCTACTCGTATTAAACAAGTTCCAAATGGTTTCTAAATCAGCTAACATTTAAGTAAAGGGGATCAAATTAAAGAGCCGGTTCCGGTAGGTCCACGTTTGTTAAGTTCAAGGACATTTGTCTTTTCAAATCTAGTAAATATACAAAATTGTTTTGAAGACCATTTTCAACACTCAGTCAACTACGACGGACTACGGACGGACAGTAAACTATGATATATATATATATACTAGCTGTTCCCCGCGACTTCGCCCGCGCGTAATTTATTACGATTGGATTTCATGGGTTTTAATTTATTTCGCGGAACCCTAATTCTTTTTCTAAAATAAAAGTAGCCTAAGTTACCTCTTATAACATCAGCTATCTGCCAATGAAAGTCCTGTGAAAATCGCTCCAGCCGTTTCGGAGATTAGCCGGAACAAACAGACAGACAGACAGAAAGACAGACAAACAAAAATTTTAAAAATCGTGTTTTTGTTACCGCATATTCTTTCATATGCATATAGTAATATGCTGTTATTTCGACATTACAAACAGACACTTAAATTTTATTTATTTGTATAGATATAATTTGTTTATATTGGTGAAGATCCTACAAAAGAATTCACTAACCTCATGCCATTCATGGCCCAAGTGGCTTTGGGGAAGAAACCAGTTCTGACTGTTTTTGGCAACGACTATAATACACCGGATGGTACTGGTAAGGATATATCGTTTTTGAGCATCTATATTTTATTTTAAATTATTATGAAATTTAATGCATTTTCTTTTTTTTTGTAACCGTATTCATTATCATTTTATATATACACAAATAAATAAATTTGAAGCGTCTGTTCGTAATATCAAAGTAACAGCTTTTTCCAAATGCACATGAAAGTATATATAACAAAAAACAATTTTTAAAATTTTTTGTTTCTTCCAGCTAATCTCCGAAACGGCTGGACCAATTTTGACGGAACTTTCACTAACAGATAGCCGATTTTATAAGGAGTAACTAAGGCTACTTTTATTTTAGAAAAATAATTAGGGTTCCGTGCAAAACCCATGAAATTCAATCATAATAAATTTCACGCGGGAGAAGTCGCGGGGAACAGCTAGTATATATATAAGTCGATGCTAAGACTAAAATCTTCATCCCTTTTTTTCCACCCTTATGGATGTCTCTGATATAGCCTATTTTATAAAATTAAAATAATTTAAATCGATCCAGCCTTTCCATGAAATCGGTGAACAATATAAACCTTCCCCGCTCGTCACTGAGTTTCTACACTTCGAAGTTGTTTTCTAAATTATTGACAGGAAGTTATATGGAGATAGGTATATCACAAAATATTAAACACCCTACATGGCGGCCGCCCTGACCCGCTGACCATTCGTTTCCCTATATATAATGTACTCTGTGCCATTTGTCACTGGGTTTACTATACTTAATTATGTTTTATTATTATTATTTACTATTTCATGGAGATAGGATAATCACAAAATTTTGGTACCCTACTTATATTAATCTATATAACGAATAAATTTGAAAAAAGAAAAACAAAAAGACCTTTAACAGTAAGATTATCAGTAAGTAATTAACTCTTGGACAATAACTTTCATTGTCCTTTAACAATTATTTCCTTTTGTCAAGGAGATAACGACGAATGTCCTCGAACATTAGGTACAGTGATAATATGATGTCACCATCTTTGGTAATACTATACTATCATACTATGATTCAAGCTTTGGTTATTTACTGTCCTTCGATGGGTTGATACCTAATGCATTCATCGGACAAAAGAACGCATGGCATCCACAACTTCCTGCCACCAGCGCAGTGCCACTTTAAGAATGTGGTGAAATATTTAACAGATTTTCATCGCATGGAAAGTTATATTGTAATAAATGTGAAGATATTACTGATTTTTTTTAAATGTTTGTTACATTTTATCAGTGGCGTAGCGTGCCTTAGATGGGCCCTGCATCAAAATTTGTTGGGGGGCCCCAATGAAGAGTAAAGATTTCATAAAAGGAACAATACAAGCGTTTTTGCTTGAATTGAAATTATTATATATTATTGATTATTCGTTATTCATCATCATTACAGCCCTTCACAAGTCCACTGCTGAACATAGGCCTTCCCAAAAGAATGAAACAAAGCACGGTCCTGAGCCACCTGCATCCATCGACTTTCTGCATATCTTACCATGTCGTCTAGTGTATCACTCCATCTAGTGGGGTGTCCCCCCCTACACTTCGTCCGCCGGTACGAGGCCGCCATTCGAGAACCTTTCTTCCCCATCGGTTGTCGGTTCTTTGAGCGATATGGCCGGCTCTCTGCAATTGGATAGGTTTCGTACTCTGGTTCTGTACTCGGATAGCCATCGTAGCCCTACTGTACAAATACTTCAGCGCTTCGATATACTGACAGTCAACTTGGCACCGCTGAAGGGACTGCAGCACCGCCCAAATTTCGACGGAATCAAAGGCTTTCTCATAGTCCACATACGCCAGACATAGTGGCAAATTGTACTCCTTGGACTTCTGTACAATTTGCCGAAGGGTATGTATGTGGGCTATGGTGCTAAAGCCTTTTCGGAAACCGGCTTGTTCGGGAGGCTGGAAGTCGTCAAGTCTGCGCGCGAGACGATTCGTAATGACTTTCGAAAACAGCACGTAGACGCGCCTTAGAAGGGAAATCGGTCTGCTCCACGCCTCTGGTGTAATGCCACCATGGAGGACGGAATTAAAGAGCTTCTGAAGGACTTCAAGTACCTTTTTTCCACCCGCTTTCAGAAGTTCCGCTGTAATTCCATCCTTACCTGGGGCCTTGCCCTTTTTAAGGTGCTGGAGAGCCCTTCTAATCTCGCTCAGATTGACGTCGGGATATCATCGGAATAGGGTCGGATAAGACTCGCTCTTGGATCGTTACTCACATTTGCGTGTGGCTCCAACGATGATGTGTACAGCTGCCCATAGAACCTCTCAATCTCACTCAAAATCTCAGGTGTCTCGGAAACGACGCTGCCACACTCGGTCTTCAGCTTCGACAGTTGGCTCTTTTTGGCAGAAAGATCTCTAGCAAAGACTTTAAAGCCCTGGTACCGCTCGATCGCTTCTTCAATACGAGCAGTATTAAAGTTGCGTAAGTCACGCCGCATGCATTTGGAGATCTGTCTGTTCAGTTGCCTGTATGCTGTCAAATCTACTGAAGACTGCAGCTTCATATCCCGTCTAACAGCTATGAGATTAAGAGTGTGATCGGAGAGTTTTTGTGTTCTCCTGCGGCGGGTCTTGCAAAACTTAGCTCCGACCGCATGGACTGTTTTCACGAGCTTGTCATTCATATCGTCTACTGCATTGCAATCTTCTAGTCACTGAAAACGGTTTCGTAGCTCGAGCTGAAAAGTTTCGGAACTTTGGATTAGAGCACGAGGGGGACGGAGCGTTGACTTCATTAGACGAGACCTTTCCAACTTAACGTTTAAGTTCAGTGTGCCTGTCACCATTCAGTGATCGCTGCCGGTTTTCACCCTCGCGATCACTGAGACATCACTGAACAGTTGTCGTCTGGTCGTCATAATGAAGTCAAATCTCACTTTTTGTCGAACCGTCGGGACTCGACACTATGCACGTCTTGAGGGGCCCGCTTCTGGAAAAAAGAGTTCATCATAAAGGGTCCCTTTTTCTCCATGAAGTCGGCCAGCTGCAGGCCCCTTGGATTCCGTTGCCTTATTCCGAAATTCCCTGCTTTCAGCTCACCGTTTTCTCTTGTACCTAGTTTTGCGTTGAAGTCTCCCATTAACACCGTATAGTGGAGGAATGCATGGCTCTAGAGATATCCTCATATATTTCCTCCACCTCCTCATCGGGGTGTGCCGAAGTTGGTGTGTAAATCTGTATGACCTTCAGCGAATACCGTTTGGTGATTCTGAATATAAGGTACGCAACCCTCGTCGACACACTCCCAATATTTACAACGTTGTTAACGAGAAACTTGTGGACGATAAATCCGACACCTCCTTGGGACAGATGGTCGCCCTCCCGGTAATAGAGCAAGTTGTCGGATTCGAGGATTACATATACCGTGTCCTTCCCCTCTCTTCGGACCTCAAATAATCTTATGATATTCCAGCGCAACTTGTCTATCTCTTCTTCCAGCTCCAGGATCTTCTCGTCAGTCCTCAGGGTGCGTGCGTTATAAGTTGCCAGGTCGAGTCACCGTAGGTAGCAACCGAACCTCCACCGGAGATTCTTAGCACCCCCTGCCCCGCCGTTATATAGCGACCATGGTCGCCACCGTAGCCAGGAATAGCGGGGCCGCCCGGGACTGGGGGCTGTCTCTTCGTTACTTTCATGTGCCACGTTGCCACGCTTGGCGAGCGGGTTGGCAACCGCAGTTTTTTTATTGTAATTTTTCTGTTATCAGAAAGATGCTGCTGCCCATCCTCTGCCTCAGTTTCCCTCTGTCGCCTCTTACGACACCCACAGGAAGATATGGGGTAGAGAGTATTCTTACCCGCCACTACACGGGGATTATTACACGGGGATATTCGTTATTACTTACAATTAATACTCCTAGGAACTAAGCTAGCAAAACAATTAAAATCAAATATACACTTTTCTTGCCTTTTGTTCAGCGAACATAGCTGAAGACGATTCGGCGGCATTCATAGCTGAAGACGATTTCAGTTTTTCTAAATTCTTTACTTCTATAGACGATAGCGATAGCCTTTCCTGTCCCATAGAAGTCCTTGGAATTTTTGTTTACACACGTTCGGGGCCCCTGTAGCCCGGGGGCCCCGTATCATTGATACGGCTGATACGGCGGTAGCTACGCCCCTGCATTTTATATAAATTAAATTAGAAATAGACAAAACAAACTAAGTATATTCCTAAAAATAGAAAACCTAATAAAAATGTGTAAAAAATTAAAGAATACAGCACTCATGCATTGTTTTGTGTACATACACTAGAAACCAAAAAAAAATATACAACAAAGCGGTAACTTTTCAATGATAATGACACTGAGAGACCATCTGCATACCAATTATGTTCACCTTAGTCACAACTAGCGACATCTGGTGATCGTAAGATTATTAGCCCTCATTATGTGGACCCTGTGGACTTCTAGGGGCTAAAGTAAATTTTGTGCAATGTCGGTTTCGTTCACGACCAGCGATTTCGAACACTGGCCACTAAACAATTATATTACGAGATCAATTTATATTACGTTAGTTACGTTAGTGAAAATTCCGTTTTTTTTTTTTAAACAGAAATGGAACATAATATCACTTCGTTACTTCAATCCTGTCGGCGCGCATCCATCGGGTCTTATTGGTGAAGATCCTACAAAAGAATTCACTAACCTCATGCCATTCATGGCCCAAGTGGCTTTGGGGAAGAAACCAGTTCTGACTGTTTTTGGCAACGACTATAATACACCGGATGGTACTGGTAAGGATATATCGTTTTTGAGCATCTATATTTTTTTGTAACCGTATTCATTATTATTTTCTATGTAGGTATATATAATGAAAAAGAACATCTTATATCGTTCATATTAATATATATATATATATATATATATATATATATATATATATATATATATATATATATATATATATATATAAATTATTCACAGCTAATTTTCATATACTTTCTCTAATTAAAATGTACCTACAGGTATACGTGATTACATCCACGTAATGGACTTAGCCGCCGGTCATGTCGCAGCATTGAAACTACTGAATGAAAATCACGTTGGCCTAAAGGTATACGCACACTACACACAGATTATTTACATTTTTTCGTGTGGTTACAACGTAAGAGTGTCACCTAACGCGTCTCGTAGTTGCATAACGAAAATACCATCGAATTTGAACAAACGGCTAAATAACCAGATCAACGAAAGCACGCAACTCAAAAAGGTAATGAGTTACCACACCACTTTCCTCATCGGGATTGTCATGATAAACGACTTCTGATCACACGGCACTACGCGCTGACACAACCAGAGTGAATCGGGGCTAGTCCCGTTTGATGTGTCACCTCAGCTCATATACAATTTTGTACACTACTATTACTACCTTATAAACTGATACGAACTCCGCTTTATCTGGTTTGATACTTTGTGTTAGTGTTAGAATACACACAAATTTCATTTTTAAATCTAAGTTATTATTTCGTTATTGTTACAGCTTCCTGCTAGGTATCTTAAAAGCATTGTTCAAGGGCGGATCTGAAGGGTGTCGTAAAGCGCGACAGAGGGAAACTAAGTCAGAAGATGGACAGCAACATTCCTCTGATAAGCTGATAATTTGAAAAAAAATCTGCGCTCGGCAATCTTCCTACCAAGTGTGGAGCAAACATTATCTCTCCATGAGATTGGCCCCGGCGGCCCCGCTATTCCTGGCATTGGTTTGCTTACCATACCAGGTTTAGCAGCCAAGGTAACGGCGGGGAAGGGGTGTTAAGTATATCCGGCGGAAATTCCGTAGCCACCTTCGACGACTCGACTTGTTAGAATATAAACCCTGAAGAGCGGTGAGAAGATCCTAGAGTTGCAAAGAAGATAGGCAAGTTGTGATAATATAGCAGGATTATCTGATGTCCGCATCGAGGGAGAGGACACGATAATCCTCGAACCTGGCAACTTGTTCTATCATGAGGAGGGTGGTTTCCCCATGGATCCGGTCCTCTTTTTTCTAAAAGCGGTCCTACAGTAAGTGGATCTGGTCCAGCCCCGGTTCGTAAAAAATGAGATTGACTTCATTATGACGTGATCGCCATATATGTTTAGTAATTGCGTAAAAATTAGGTGAAAATTGGTAACGATCACTGAATGTTGTGGACATAATGAACATCAACGTCAAAGTAGAGGTCACGCCTTATAAAGTCAACGCTCCATCTCCCTCGTACTCTAATCCAAATTCTCGATAACTTTCAGTTCGAGATACAAAATGGTTTTCAGTGCCTATAAGGTTGCTATACTTATACTTATGTCATGTCATTATAAAGAACAAGCTCGTGGAAACTTTTCTTGCGGTCAGAGCAGGTTTTGCAAGATCTGTCGAAGATGAACCCAAAAACTCTCCGATCACATTCCTAATCTCATGGCTGTTAGACGAGAAATGAAACTGCAGTATTCACAACAGATAAGACAACGTACAGGCTGACTGAACAGATAGATAGTAGTCGCCCATATCTAGAAATCTTAGCTGTATTCTATAGTGAATATAGTTTTATAGCAAATAATTTTATACTAATCCGTTTTCGAACTTTATAATTTTTATTTACACAAAAAAGGAAGATAGAGATCTAAGATTAACTACGAAACAAGATATTTATCACTCTTTTGACGGCTCCGTGGTGCAGTCGCTTAGCATTAGTGGTTGCTGTGACCCATGGAAATCTACATTTATCCTCAATAAAGAATCAAAATTCAGATGCGTCGTCACCCGTGACCGTGAGGACTAAGATGGAATGCCTCTTTTCCAGTAAAATGGGTCTCCGGTTCTCTACACTCACCGTACGAAACACATCAGTGTCAAGCTACCATTTTACGCTGGTATTTTGTGAGAGCGTGGTCCTTCTCCGGTCGCTGCAGCATTGCTGTACCACGTATAAATTACTCTGTCTGTATGATTGTCCTTTTACAATTAATATATGTAAACTGTTTCCAAGGCGCAATAGAAAATCATAGTGTGGGTAACGTTTATTATACAAGTGATAAAATTAAAAGTTTTGTACAATAGTCAGACTTTGACCAAATTTATATGGGACCACATGAGAAGCACCAACTTTCAAATAAAAAATAACATACATAAAAAGCATACAGTCGAATTGAGTACCTCCTCCTTTTGGAAGTAGAAAAAAGAAAATAAAAAAAGATCATCAGAACAAGAAACTTACCTTCTTTTTTGTGTTCCACCAGGCGGGTAAAACTCATTCTAAACAACGCCTACTATGTAACAAATTGCAGGTATACAATCTGGGGACTGGCCGAGGTGTTTCAGTAAAAGAAATAGTGGATGTTTTCGAGCGGGTTACAAACACCAAGATACCGCTCAAGTACGTCTCCCGACGCTTGGGCGACATCACGGCGATGTGGGCTGACGCCACACTGGCAAAAGAAGAGCTCGGCTGGACCACAAAATATACTATAGAGGAGATGTGTGAGTAACATTGTGTATTATATCGTAGGTCAATGCCACAAGTCTTTTTCGATGAAACTGAGATCATTTCGATTACTACTTACAATGTTCTTTTATTTAAATTATTTTTATTATAAGCCAGTGCTTGATTACTATCCCACCTCTAGTACGATTGTGTAGCTCTGGTGGAGATTGTGGTGGGTTTAATTTTGACGTTTGGCATTTGGTTTCATTGTATTGTCTAAATGTTTCATTACTTTTGTAAACCGACATGTTTTTAACACATTGCCTGCTGAATTTTTAGCGAATTTTTTGCAAATGCTAATTAAATAGCTAATAACCGTGTGCGGCAAACGCTCTTGCGCTTTCAATGAATATTTCGTGTGGTGCTATGAAGTATGAACGCATATGCGGGGTTGAAGAAGGTCTACCTAGTGCGGCGTTCAATACTTTGTCCAAGTGCGGTACGGCGCTTATGTGAGTTTGAAAATTTTCGAGTTTTATGACAGTCATAAACAATTACGGTAGATACATGTAAAGGCTGTTCCTCACAACATTTGTGACCTTCAGTCTTATTTAACATGATAATTTTCAACCACAAAAGTTAAAGTTACAGCCTATATCCGTCCCACAGCTGGGCACAGGCCTCCTCTCATTTCTGAGAGGGTTTTATGGCAAAGAAATGTCCGCCGCGCTGCGCCAATGCGTGTTGACGAACTTCACGTCTTCGAAATATATTTTTTATAATTCTCAGACATGCAGGTTATCTCACGATGTTATCCTTCACTGCCGAGCACGTGGTAAATCAGCAGTTAAAATTGCAATTAACAATTTCATTAGTGCCGGCGGTAATCGAACCCGGGTTGCTCACGGTTGTTATTAAATTTACAGCGAGCGCTAGCCATCTGAGCTACTACGGCTCACCACTCAACCACAAGTGTGGCATAAAATATTAGTCTAATTTTATTGCAAATAAATGTTACAATCCTTATTTTTAGTATAATAAATTAAAAGAAATTCTTTAGAGTAAACAATACTTTGTAATAGCGCCATCTACTTCATTCTCTACGTAGTGATTTTATCGAACGAAAATTGATTAACTCTCAAGGTACCACCCACAATAGACGCTAGATGGCATAAACACGACACGATTAAATTTAATATTCTATTTCATTATCTCGCAGGCTAAATCCTATTGATATATGTATATATTTGACACTTTTTATATAAGAGATATATTTAAGAATGCTTAGTGTTTATGCCCAAATTTGGCCATTTTTGAACGCCATCCAATTGCGTTCCGAGCTGGCGCGTCAACCGATGGTATGTAGGTGAAAAAAACGCCGCCAGGTGGGGCGGCCGTGTGCGGCTTGCAGTGGCTCGACGCGTGGGCGAAAAGAGAGTAGCTCGCTGGCCGCGATGCGGTGAATCCGCGTATCTCGATTATCGCGGCTGAAGTTCACGCGACCGTGTAGGGTCCAGATAGTAAGATTTAGGGCGTGTTACTTCGCTGCGTGGATATGTGAATTTTGCAATATTTAACTAGTTCGGGTGATGCGGAATTGTGCACGCGCGCGTTGAGTAGATATACGGTCTAGGATTCGAACCGCGCATTCGTTGGTCGAGAGCGTCTCCCGGTTGATTGTTTGGAAATCATTATAATTGTGCCGTCGCGTTAAGTGCCCTTTTTTGTGTGTTGGTTGGTTTGTTAGTTTACGTGTCAACGAGGCGTATTTTGAATTCTTTTCGCGACGTGGTGTTTTGGTGTCGAATGGAGGAACTTAGTTGTGTTTAACGCTGAACCGTATGACTCATTAAGAGATCGCGTTAGTTCCCTATTTATAATTTTGTGATAAGTGAATCCGGGACATTGAATGTCGAATTTTGAACTAATGTCCTTACTGTGTCGGGTATCACGTGTTCGATTCTACGATGAATGTGGAATTAGGTGAGTTTAAGTTAGTTAAATGTACAATGAAGCTAATAGACTGAAAGAAATGGTGCAGCGGTGGAGCCTGCTGGAGCGATGCAGCATTGTGGGGCAGCCTGGAACTCGGCCGCTGCTGGTCGTCTAAGCTTGTCCAGGTCTCAGACATTTACACATCACTAAACACTACTTGCCATGCACCTCACACCCACTTACGGCCTGACCGAGCCTTGGGGCGATCTTAGAGTCGGAAACAGGTAAGTACTGTATTTTTCTAGCCTTCTCCCTTCAGTTTAGTATTATAGGACATTCTTCCATAGGCCGTTGGGCCCCGTCCCTCTGCTGCCCATCGATGGGATTATTCATGGGCCCTGGTCCCGTCAACTTTGTTGGGGCAGCTAGGGGCGTGTACATCTTTGGTAGCAGGGAGCGTTGGTTGGATTGGTTTAATTTTGTGTCTACAATCACCCCAGGCCGTAATACGTAATAATAAAACTATTTTCCTTGGTTGCTTGCTATTTTGTTTGTTAGTGAGTAGATTTGAAAGCCGCGCCCGTAGGTTGAGCAAGCGGGAGTTTTGTTAAAGCTAGGTACTTACCGTAGTTTTATTAAGGCTAGGTACTTTGACTAGGTAGATAAGGTTATCACGTAATCGGATAATTATCGTTTTCGTATAATTATAGTAGATTAATTGTCGAAGGGTCGGTTGTCTGAGCGAGGCATTTTTTGTAGATCGACTGTGATGTGTATCTTTATTTGTATTGTGATTTGTATTGGATCCAATAACTAGTAATTTGTATTTGTGTAATTTGTATTTAACTTGATTTGATGGGAGTTGTATTTGTTATTTGTTCATTTGTAATTTGTATTTGAGCCGCGTAGTAATTTGTATTTAGAAAGTGATGCCGTCGCGCTGCTAGGGCTGTCACCATGCCATTTTGTGTCTGGGTGCGAACGGCGCTTCCTCTCAGAGCTCTCCCGAGCCCTCGCCGCGCCCCCTGTCGGGGGGTTGTTCCCCCAGGGGCGGGGGATCGTCACTCCCTCCCTCAGTATGTTGAGAGGGACTTCACTGCCACTCAGCGGTCAGCTAGACCCTTCTCACCCTCGTCAGCTGAGTGGCTGCGGCTCGGGGTACTACCGTTCCCCCTTTGATGTAGGCAGCCCCAGCTAGGTAGCTGCCGCCCTAGCTTCCACCACGGCCGCCTCCACTAATTCTGTGAGCCGTCAACAGCTCACTTGTCAAACTGTTCTATTGTCGACGGCCTCAGTGAGGGTGTACAACCCGAGCGTCGATTGTTTAACGGTACGCGCTTTATTGGTTCCGTGTTCACAACACGGTTGCCCTCTGCTTGGTTGTTGGGAAGACTAGGGCTCCACGGGAGCGTTGAATTGAGCTGTTGGGGATTGTTAGATTTGGTTTTGGTCGAGCACTTAATTAACGATGCTTTAAATTAAAATTAAAAATGGTTTTGTGCCTTCCGTGAAATGTTTCATATTTGTTGTGACTAAGAAGGCAAATTTAATGTGCTCTTTGAATACTTATACATATGTTTTGTAATTGTATTTGATCACTGTGTCTGTTTTGCTGAAAGGAAAATTTGAATTCATTTGAAGTTGAATGACGCGCTATTTGAATATTTGTAAGTATGTTTTTGTGATTGTGTTTGATCATTGTGTTTTGTTGAAAAGAAAATTGAAATTGGATAACCCTATTTGTGCCGAAAGGAATAAGAGTTATTCCTCTTTTGGGTTTCACATTTTGTTGGCACTGTCTAAGATATTTATTTGAAATGAGAAATAGGGCTGTCTCTTACGTTTGTCGTTTTGTTTAATTTGTCAGCTTGACCTACATATGTGCATCGGTGATTAATTTGTTTGAATTTATTCTGTAGTTGAACATTGATGCTTTTGAAAATTAGTTGAAATATGAGCATAGGACTACTTGTCTAAAAGGCTAGCTAGTTTGGAGATTATCAGATTGAAATCAGCTGCCGCACTATTTGAGTAAATGATTATATGGTGGATGGCTTGGTTATGCCTACTTGTTTGAAAATTCATACTAGGGACTATCTGTGCGTTTCGTTTGGCTCTCCACAGACGACGTTCATGTGGAATTTGTGGGTGCTCTCTGCACTGAAGCTTAGGAGGCCACGCTGGGCCGCTTCCTGTCGCGTCGCTGTTTGCAGACCTGATCCCATCGGATTGCGGAACGAATCATAGGGGCACAGATAGGTGTTTGAAAGAGGTCGTCAGACTTCTGTCCAGTACAGGACTTGTTAAGGTGCTGAGATGCTTAGGAGGGGAGGATCCAGTGGAGGTTGACCCTCCGGCTTGCCCACATTGGGGCTGTCTTTTTGAGGCGGTGGCTAGGGTTGCAAGATTTGATGGGGTGCCTAAGGTGGCCTAGTTTTGGTTGGAGATTCGGTCTTGCAACGTGCCGTCGCGACCCTGTCCCGCTTGTCGGTTTGCTCGCGGACATGTCCTTATGTCCGGGATGGGGGTTTGTTTATGCTCAAATTAGGTCATTTTTGAACGCCATCCAATGGCGTTCGAGCTGGCGCGTCACCCGATGGTATGTAAGTGAAAAAAAAACGCCGCCATGTGGGGCGGCCGTGTGCGGCTTGCAGTGGCTCGACGCGTGGGCGAAAAGAGAGAAGCTCGCTAGCCGCGATGCGGTGAATCCGCGTATCTCGATTATCGCGGCCGAAGTTCATGCGACCGTGTAGGGTCCAGATAGTTAGATTTAGGGCGTGTTACTTCGCTACGTGGATATGTGAATTTTGCAATATTTAACTTGTTCGGGTGATGCGGAATTGTGCACGCGTGCGTCGATAGATATACGGTCTAGGATTCGAACCGCGCATTCGTTGGTGGAGAGCGTCTCCCGGTTGATTGTTTGGAAATCAATATAATTGTGCCGTCGCGTTAAGTGCCCTTTTTTGTGTGTTGGTTGGTTTATTAGTTTACGTGTCAACGAGGCGTATTTTGAATTCTTTTCGCGACGTGGTGTTTTGGTGTCGAATGGAGGAACTTAATTGTGTTTAACGCTGAACCGTATGACTCATTAAGAGATCGCGTTAGTTCCCTATTTATA